CAGTCAACTCTTGATATAGCGAACTCTTGATATAACGAATTTTTTGAACAAATATAATAAAAATACTCTTATTAAAGCGAATTGCCTAATCAAATCTCTTAAAATCTTCGCTATAGCCTTATAGCGAAGTTGAAGTCTAGGATATAGAGTTCGTTATAACAAGAGTTGACTGTAATATGAATACTGTATTCACTTATTTAGAAAGTTATTTTTTGAATGATAATATAACTTTTAATTCTGAAAATCAATGTGTACGATATTTAGCCTATATTATTAATTTAGCTACTCAAGAAGTTCTTTTAATATTAAAAGGAGTTAAACTAAAAAAAGAAGAAAATATATTAGAAAATATAAAAAATAATCAAAATATGAAAGTAATTAAAAAGGTATAAAATTTTATTTTTTTATTTTAATTTATACTAATTATTAATAATATTATTATAATTTTAATTAAGAAAATTAGTAGTTAAAATTCATGCTTTATCTTAAAGGTATAAAAAACTTAATTGTTAATATATTGCTTCAAAAATTAAAAGTCTTTAATTAATTCCAGATATTAAAATATGTTGAAATTCAACTTATAATATGATGGAAAAAGTATTAATACTACGTGAGGTAAATTATAAATCATAATTATTTTATTTTTATTTTATTTTAATAATATTTTTTATTAGCCATTATATAATATGATATCAACAAATGAGAAATTAACAGAATTTTTATTATCTAATAATGAATAAAATAAAATTGAGGAAATTAAAAATTTACTAAAAATATATATTTATAAATTAATAAATATTATTTAATTTAAAATATATATTTAATATTAATTAATATTTAGTATTTTAAATTAGCTATTCTTGAAATGAGTAAAACAAGTAAACTAACACTTAATCAAATAGTTCTAATTTATAATTATTTAATTAATATAATTGAGGATTTTATTGATACAGCTCAATCAAATAATATTATTGATGTTGCTAAAAATGCTAAAACTACATTAAAGCAATATTATCCAATATCTAATGGACTTATTTATGCAATTTCAATAAGTATATATAAGCTTATCTAATTTATTTTTATTATAAAATATTAAGATTAATAATTTTATTATATTTATTAAATAGTTATAGACTTAAGATTTAAATTAGATTATTACAGTCAACTCTTGATATAGCGAACTCTTGATATAACGAATTTTTTGAACAAATATAATAAAAATACTCTTGT